TTGGAGTTTGAGAGTTGGGGTACAATCTGTGCTGTCAGAGCTGGTGTGGAGTTTGAGAGTTGGGGTACAATCTGTGCTGTCAGAGCTGGTGTGAAGTTTGATAGTTGGGGTACAATTTGTGCTGTCAGAGCTGGTGTGGAGTTTGAAAGTTGAGGGTACAATCTGTGCTCTCAGAGTTGGTGCGGAGTTTGAGAGTTGGGGTACAGTCTGTGCTCTCAGAGCTGGTGTGAAGTTTGATAGTTGGGGTACAGTTTGTGCTTTCAGAGCTGGTGCGGAGTTTGAGAGTTGGGGTACAATCTGTGCTCTCAGAGCTGGTGTGGAGGGAGTTGGGGTGCAGTCTATGCTGTCAGAGCTGGTTTGGAGTTTGAGAGTTGGGGTACAGGGGTACAGGGGTACAAGGTAAGAAGGCTGTCAGGTTTAATCTTCTTCCTCACCACACAGCTCTCAGCCTCTGATACGGCCATGGTGTTAGGAGGCTGAAGTCAGGGAAACTTTCTGACAGGCGAACATGCGACCTGCCCTGTCAGTGTTCCTGGACAGATCCTTACAGCCTGTGCAGACCAGCTGGACACGGTTTTTACAGATTTTTTTAATTTTTCACTTTTACAATCCTCCGTTTCCATGCCTTTTAAGAAAACCACCGTTATACCAGTGACAAAACAGGTCGCAGTGTTTTTCTTCAGTGATTACAGAGGAAGTGCTCATACTACTACTACTGTGATTAAATGCTTTGAAAGGCTGGTCATGAGGCAGATTAACACAATGGTACCTGAGTGCTTAAACCCCCTGCAGTTTACAAAACAGTGTAACAGGTCAACGGACGACGCCATTTCCCTGCCTCTTCACACTGCCCTGGCTCATTTGGATGATACAGACACATAGAATGTGTTAGCATGCTATTCATTGCTTACAGCTCCACAATTAACACTATAGTTCCATCCAGACTAGTCACCGAGCTTAATGATCTGGGTATCAGCACCTCTCTCTGGAGCTGGATTCTGGATTTCCTGACTGGTGGACCACAGACTGTGAGGAAAGCTTTCTGCCACACTGACTGCCAATATAGGTGTCCCACAGGGCTGTGTGCTTGGCCTCCTGCTGTTTTCCTTGAGGCTGGACAGAACTCCATCTCCACGTATGCTGACAATGGTACCATCATTGGCCGAATCAGCAGTGACAATGAAGCGGTCTACAGGGGTGAGGTCAGGAACCTGGTGGAGGGGTGCCTTGACAATAACCTCTCCCTCAGTGTCAGCAAAACCAAAGAGCTGGTTGTCAAGTTCAGAAAGCAGGGTTGTTGTTTTTTCAGAAAGTAGAGCTTCCCTCTATGGTGGACATTTTTACAACTCGCTGTCTCAGGAAGGCTGGGAGTATCGCTAAGGACAACAATCATCCCGGTTTCTCACTTTTCTCCCCCCCTTCCTCCTGGTGTTACGGATTGGCTGCGCAATGTGTCTCGGGTGTTATTTCAGGCTCCATGCGAAGTGGTTAGAGCTGGAGGAAACAGGAGGCGTAGTTTGGGGAAAACACCCAGGGGTTTAATAGTGCATCGCAGTAACAGTGACAGGTGGTGAACCGGCGAACAGGGGAACAGAGAGAGGCCTCCCAATCCCAACAGGTCCAGAGGTGGGTCAGGGTACAGTCCATGAATCCGATACCGTGAGATCCATCCTGAGGCAACACAAGGTTAAAATCCCCAGGAAGGGGAAACAGGAACACGGGCAGTCCTGGGATCACAGGACAAGGTCCTCCAGGCCCTGGGCTCAGGTCAGGTGATGTTGGGGAGGAGGCTGTGCCCTCAGGCGTCCAGCAGCCTGGTGACAGGTGGGCCTCGGGACATCCGGCCCTAATGCTGAGCCCTGGGCACGGGAGGCAAAACCAGGCACACCTGGAGAACATAATCAGCAAAGACAGACCTAATGACAGGAGGAGTGGAGCGCCCTCTAGGGGAGGGGTGTCGGCCGTGACAGGAGCATAGAGTCACGAACGTCCAGATTCAGAGACAGTTTCTTCCTGCACGTTGTCAGATTACTGAACTGCCCCCCACCCCAGTAGTTCACACTGATGTGTTTTTGCACACTGCTGTGCTGACTTGTATTTCAGTTACATGTTGCTTAACTTTGTTGCTGCTGCTGTTCCGTGTTTATGTTTGGTGTTTCCCTAATGTCTTCGTATCGGAACACACATGCAAACAAGCGTTTCATTGCACTTGTGCGGATGA